GCCTGCTGTGTTCATCCAGCTCTGCACCTTGTTGTCTCGGATTCTCCAGCATCTGCAGTTCCTACTATCTCTGATCATCCACTTCAGTGCCTTTTTCCTGCACTGTTCCCATATGCCTTTTTCACTGACATACTTCTAGATACCAGCATCAACTTTAAATATAGTGAGCATTAACACACCTCTGGGGCAGGGAATTCTAGATCCCCTACCAGGGGAAACATCTTACCCGCATCAACACTGTCTGTCCCTTTAAGTATATGTGAATTTCAAAGAGATAAGACCATAAGATACAAGAACAGAAGTAGGCCATTCGGCACATCGAGTCTGTTCCATCATTCAATGAGATCTGATAATCCTCAAATCCACTTTCCTGCATTTTCTCCATAACATAGATTCCCTTCCTGATTAAAAATCTGTCTCTCACAGCCTTGTATATATAAAGTTGAATAACCCAACATCTAAGCCTTCTGCAGGAAAGAATCCCACAGATTCATTACTGGCTGAGAGAAGAAATTCCTCCTTATCTCTGTCTTAAATGAACAACCCCTTATTCTGAGATGATGCCCTCTGGTCCTAGACTCTCCCACAACGGGGAACAACCTCCCTATATTTCCCCTATCAAGTCCTTCCCTAAGAATTTTGTATGTTTCGACAAGGTCATCTCTCTTTCTTCTAAACTCCAATGAGTACAGGTCTAAAGTACTCGATCTCTCCTCATAAGACAGTCCCTCCGCAACTCAGTATCAGCCCACTGAACCTTCTCTGAACTGCCTCCAATGCATGTATACCTCTCCTTAAGAAAGGGAGCAAAATTCACAGCATTCCAGCTGGAGTCTAACCAGTGACTTGTATAGTTTTAGACAGACCTCCCTATTTTTATACTCTATTCCCTCTGAAATTCCATTCCATTTGCCTTCCCTCCTAAATTTGAATGCTAGCATTGTGCAACTTATGCATGAGGACCCTCAAATCTCCTTGACCTGTAGCTTTCTTTGCCTCTTATTCTTCAAAACAGTAGAGAACGCAGAAGCTTGCCCATCCCAATTTCTCTTGGTAGGATAGTCCTGCCATCCTGGAGACAAGTCTGGCGAACCTTCATTGCACTCCCTCTATGGCAATAATAGAGGGGAAAGGGAACAAAAACTGCATGTAGATCTCCCATGTGCACAGGCTAACCAAGTTTGTGTACAATTGAAGCAAGACTCCATTACTGCTATACTCAATTCTTCTTGCAATAACATATCCTTAACCTTCCTAATAGCTTGCTGCATCAGCATATTAGCGTTCAATAAGGCCTCTTTGCACGTCTACGTTCTAATCTCTTATGTGCATTTAAGAAATAACCTGTGCGTCTTTTCTTCCATTTGTTCCATTCTGTTTTTTTTGGCTTTGTGCACTGCTGGTGTTTTCGGGGACTGGTTTTGCAGCCCTCAATTCCAGATCTGTCAGGGTGCAACCATTTCAGAAGTCTTTCTTAGGTCTTTCAACAGATTAATCTAGCAATAACCACATCAGAGCAATCCACTCTTGGCTCATTCAACACCCTCAGTTGTTTTTCTGAGAGTGTTTTAATATCAAGCCTGTTCCACCCAGCTCCCATGTGTCTGCTGACCTGCATTCATTCCTGGTCAGGCAACACGTCAACTAGGATTCTCATCCTTGTGTTCAACTTCCTCCTGATCTTGTACATCTCAGCTACCTCCTCCACTGCTCCAAGATCTCTGTGCTCCTCCACTTCCGGCCTCTTAAGCCTCCTCGATTTCCATCACTGCCGCACTGACAACCATGCCTACAGCTGCCTGGACTCTGAACTATGGAAATGCTTCCCTAAACCTGACTCGCTCTCCTCCTTCAAGTGGGCTCCTTATCACTAACCTCTATGACAAAACTGCTCTCACGCAACATTCTGTGGCCCAATGTCTAATTTTGCTTTATTTGATGCCCCTTTGAAGCATCTCACTTGAAAGACTTGCATTTATACAGCACTTTTCACAACCACCAAACATATGGCCATAAGATACTTTCCTTTTTTACATGTAAGCAGGAGAGTGGTCAAAGATAAAGGGGCCAGAAAATTTGCAACTCATGCAATCTTAACACTTTAAATGGTCATCATAGACCAAGAGGCCCGGTCCTGTGCTGTGCAGATTAAGGGGAGAATAAGGCTGGGTCGGCGGTGGCTGCAAGATTAAGGCTGGGGGTCTGGACAGGGGCCATGAATGGTTGCAAAAGGAAGGGGGAAAAGAGACGAGTTACTTAGTGTGGGGGAAAGGTAAACAAGCTCCCCAAACCGCACACGTATGCACACACTACATATGCATATGCTGCATTATGCGATCACACACTCATATCTGCCAGAATCAGAGCTTACTTTCTGTTGTTATGCTCAGAGTTGCACTGCGCTGATGTTAAAATGTTCAAAACATAATATACTTGAAACACATCATTGCTGAGGCAGGGATCAGAAAATCATTAACATCATGGATTTCCACAATGCCAAAGCGAGAATTTTACCAAATGGTGAAAATTCCTCATCCTCAGATTTAGCAAATGCAGCAACCAAAAGGTATTCTGCAGTGTCCCACAAACAACAGTGCAATCATCTGTGTTTCAAGATGCTGATTCAGGATAAAAATTGGGCACTGGGAATATCTCTCTTTTGAGAGACTCCAGTGAAGGATCTATTCTTTCAGTGGACAAACAGAGTATTTCATGTCTCATTCAAAAGATGGTAACTTCAACAGTGCGGCGCTCCCTCAGCACCAACCCTCTAACAGTGCAGCACTCCCTCAGCGCTGCACTAGATTATCAGCCAGCTCCAGCCACTGCAATAGAATTTGACCCCAGGAATCTGTGAATTAGAGGCGTGTGCAATACTCGCTGAGTCACAGGTGACGTGGACATTTTACGACATCCAACACACTATAGAGATACAAGATGTTATTGTCATGTGACTATCAGGGGAAGGTACGATCATGCTTTTCCCTATCAACTAGAGAGCTGGCAGTCTCTTTAGAAATGTACTTCAGCTAAGATTCCCTAACACCATTGTAGACTTACCTATACCAAGGAGAATGCAGCAATTCAAGTTGGCAGTTCACTACCACCTTCTAAAGGACAAGTAGGGACGGGCATTAAAGGCTGGTCCAGCCAAAAACATCCATGGCCTATGGGTGAATGAAAAAAATATGTTGATGTCTTGAGGAGGGAAAATGGGGAAAGAAAATTCACTAAACCGAAAACAAAAACAAAAGCTGTAGGTAGCTACAGCCTCACTAGTATCCCTTCTATAAACAGAGGGAGCACATTTGCAGTTATTCATCATAATTATGGCACAAACATCAGAAAGCTGTGTACTTTGAAAAGTCAGAAGCCAGCATGCTGATGGCTTACCATGCAGCTCTTTGACCCAGTTCCTTCCTGCAATGAGGCTTTTTAAAATAACCACAGCATGCCCTCGGCTGACAGATTTAAAGCCAGCACGGTAATGAGCCGACAAGGCCAGCGATGGAACAGCAATGACCGCAGGCTGTCGTTGCCACAGACGGGAATCATCTGGTAAAAAAGTGCTCGCTGGTTACTGGTCCAGAGGCTTGGTCAGAGCAGCCGTGGAGTGTTATCCGGTTGCTTCAGGAGAGGGGCTGGCCGCGAGAAGTGAGAAAGAAAATGGCTGGCATTTGCACAGCACCATCCATGACCCAAGGGAGTCTCCTGGAGCATTTTACAGTCAGTATGAAACACTTTTCTCCTTTTGGAGGCTTAGACACTGTTAAAATGTAGGAAATGCAGCTGAAAATATGCACGAAGCAAGATTCCACAAACGGAAATCTGATTAACTGACCCAGATCGTCAATTTTTGGACAGGCCATAGGACATCAGGAAGAACTTCCCCACACCCATCTATACATTACACCCACTTGAGGGGACAGGCAGAGTTTAAAGTCTGAAAGGAAATATAGCATGGTGCTCCCTCGGCGCCGACCCTCCGACAGTGCAGCGCTCCCTCGGCGCC